AGAATTATTTTATTTAACTTTATTTTTATTTGACTTGAGAGGGACAGAGTGAGAGAGAAAGCAAAACATCAGGTCCAAGACTCAAACCAAGGTCAGCCATGTGGGAGTCCACTGCCCTTAACCACCAGACTACCTGGTGGTCCCAATAAATAATAATTCTTAAAAAAAAAAAAGAGGGCCAGCAGGTGGTGTGGTGTTTAAGTCACTGGACATTCTCATATGGCCAACTACAGTTTGAATCCTGGACCCGGTGGCTTGCTTTCTCACTTTTCTTCTCTCTGTGTGTCTGTCTTTCTCTGGTCAAATTAAAATAAATGAATGAATAAATAAAATTCAATAAATAATTCTTTAAAAAAAAAAAGAACACCTAGTCAAGGGGCCAGCAGGTAGTGATTAGGGGGCACAGTTCGAGTCCCAACATGCGGCTTGAAATTCATGGGGCATGCGTGTGTGTGCATGCCCAAAATCCCAAGGGGAGAATGGAGAAGGGATGTGGTGTGGCCACCTCCTCCCCCACCCCCACCCCTCCCCATGGGTGATTTCTCACTGTCTGTCTCTGGCAAGCCTATATGCCCTATAGCAAAAATCTCTTAAAAAATAAAAAAATACCCAGTCAAGATTCAAACCCTAGTCTCATCTGCCCACAGTCTGGGTTGTAAGCATCACACCTCACCAGGGAGACATAACCCTTCCTTCCACGTCTTCCCACCAACTTCCACTCCACTCCAGTCCGCTCTCCAGGTGGGGACTTAGAACTGCCCTCGCTCCTCCTCCAGGAAGACCCAGAGAGAGCGGAAGGTCATGGAGAGCAGAAGGGGGGCTCAGGGGCAAGGCAGACATTGTTTGTTGGCACCTCCTGGGTGCTAGGCTCACTCACCTTCCGCCCAGCAGCCCTGCTGGGTGGGTAGGAGCTCCTGAGGCCCAATGAGGGCAAAGGGCATGTCCCAGTGGCACAGAAATGGACTGGCCAATCAGGCCACAGGGCAGGTCTCCCTGGCCATGCCCCCTCACTGCCTAGGGTCCAGCAAGAGCATTAATGACATGCCCTGGGCTCAGGGCTTTCTGTGCGGGTGCTCTGTCCCACCCTCCTTCCACTCCTGCCTCTTGATGAATTTGTTTCCCAAACCTCAGGCTGACCACTCGTCCACACCCTCCCTCTGTAGCTGCAGAGTGGGCAGGCTGGGGGAGGTTTCTGCTTCTGGGCACCAGAGCGTGGAGGATGGAAGATCACGGAGGATCAGCCTCCCCAGCACAGACTGAGGGGCGCTGGGGTTGGAGCCTGTTTCTCCTCCCTCCTTCCAGGGCTGGGAAGGGGACAGGGCCCAGTCAGGTTGGCAGCAGCAGGGCCGCCTGACTTCCCTCTCTAGATCCCTACCTTGATTAGGCCCCAGAGACAAAGAGTGGCCGTGTGTGCTGGAGGCGCCTGGAGCGGCCCCTCCCAGCTGGGACCCTGCCTGGACCTGGCCACCTGGCGGGGCTGGAAGGGAGTCTGGGCAGGTTGGGCTGGGTCCTCCCTCCTTCCGTCTGCCTCAAGTCTCAGGAGCAGAGAAACAGACCGGTCCAACAGGTACGGATGAGGACATCAGAGGCCCAGACAAGGGCCTGACTACTCCCAGGTCACACAGCAAAGCTCAGGGCAGCTGGGCCAAGCCAGGTCTCAGGCCCGGGGACCAGCAGCCTTTCTCCCTTCACACCCCTGGAACAACCCCTCAGAGGCCCACCAGACCCCGAAGTGCCCAGTGTTGTGAGTGGCATGCAGGAGCCGGGACTGCAGCTGCTCTCCCAGGTAGGGAGCTCTGAACTGCCTCCCTCCTCCTCCAGGAATGAAGACCCAGAGAGAGGCGAAGGTCGTGAGCAGAGGAGGGGGTCGGGCATGGTGGACGCCATTTCTCGACACCTCCTGGGTGCCCGGCTCGCTCATCCTCAGCCCCGCAGCCTTGCCGGTGGATAGGATGTTCTCCCCCCAGCTCCTCTGCCCCTTTATTGAAAATCTATCCTGGGCCGGGCCCTGGCTGTGCTTTCACTGCGCCTCACACTGAATCCCCAGCAGCAGTTTCTGTTGAGGGTCCTAGAAAGGGAATGGCCCAGCCACGCCAGCCACAGGCTAGAGATGAAGATCAGGGGGCTGAAGGCTCAGAGCTCTAATCCTGAGGGCCCCTGTATCCCCCTAATTCCCAGCAGTACAAGGAGCCGCCATCAGTCTCCATAGCAACCATTACCCCTGGCCTCCAAAGTCCCCAAGCCTGACCTTCTTCCCAGGCGCCCATCTCCCTGAGAAAGGCATGCTGACCTCCCAGACAAGGAGACTTGGTGGGGGGAGGGGCAGGCTGGGCTGCTGCTGCTGCTTTTTTTTTTTTTTTTTAAGAATTATTTATTTTTAATGTGATTTACTATTATTATTATTTTTTTTGGAGAAGTTTTTGCTATAGGGCACGTGTGCTTGCCAGAGAGACAGAAAACAAGAAATCACCCCCCAGGGGGGATGGCCATGCCGCAATCCCTTCTCCTCCATTCTCCTCTCAGGATCTTGGGTACGCACACACACGCCCGGCATGAGTTTAAGCCACTGGGTCTGGGACTCGACCCGTGGCCGACTACATGGGAGTCCAGCAACATAGCCATTATGCTAACTGCTGGTCCCATTATTACTATTTTTTAATTCACCAGAGTGGGCAAGTCACCAGGTATGGAACCGTGGTCAGCCATGTGGGAGCCCAGCGCTTTAACCACCACGCTACCCGCCGGCCCTGGGCTGCTTTTCTATAGCTTCATTTGAGTTCACTTCACTTCAACCCCCCCCTCGTTGTTTAATTCTTCTATGAGCAAGATCAGAGAGGGAGAGAACCTCAACAGGGGCTTCCTGAGACCACCTACCCCAGCATCGGCCAGCCCTGAGTGTGCACACCTGTGTGTGTGGTGGTCTCAGGGAGGTGTCCGGACACAAAGTCAGAACCTTTTCTTTTTTACAAAAAGAATTACTTATTTATTTCATTCCATTAGTTATTATTTTTAAATTTGATTAGAGAGAAAGGGAACTTGAGAAAGCAAGCTGCCAGGTCTGGGACTCGAACTACAGTTGGCCATGTGGGAATCCAGCACCTTTATCCACCAGGCCACCTGCCGGCCCCCTCCAAATTCAGAACCTTCTGTGAGTCAGCCTTGCCACACGGTCTGCACTGCATACCACCATCCAGCCCACTCACTTTACTTGTTTTGGAAACAAGTCTTGGTTGGTGGCGGAGGCTGGCCTCAAGCACAAAATCCTCCTACCTCAGCCTTGGGAGTAAGCTGGCTTTGCCTCATTTTTTACAGCCCAAAGCTGGACTAATGGACACAGCCTGGGCCCCTTTCCAGGTCACAAGGAAGCCCAGTGGAGCTCATGGAGAGCAGGTTCTCATCCTTTTTAGGTTCTTGCCATAGGGTGCGAGCTCACTGGAGAGAGAAACAGAGACAGAGAAGAAAAGTGAGAAATCACTCCCCCCACCCCCAATGGTGCAATCTCTTTTCCCTTTTCTTCTTGGGATTTTGGGTGCACATGCACACGTGCCCACAAGCCCAGTGTGATTTTCAAGCCTCCAGGTCCAGGACTGATCTGCAGCTGGTCATGATGTGAGAGTACAACACCTTAATGGACTACAATGCCACCTGCTGGCCCATCCTTTTCTACTTTCAACACACTGAGCACTTACTAAGTATGGGCCCCTCTGTGGGCACTGGGCACCCAGCACAGGACAAGACATCCCCTCTAGCTGCTTACATTCTAGATGGGAAACAAGCAACTTTAACTTCTTATGAGTGCTAGAAAGAAAATAAACAAAAGGATGTGGTGGGAGGAACCAGCCAGAGAGGATCCACATTCCTGGCAGAGGGAATGTTCCGGCAGGTCCTAGGGGCGCAGACCCTGGGGTTACAGAGGAAGAAAGCTCTGCAGCTCAGCGCCTGGCCAAACGGTATGCGCCAGGCTGCCCGACTGGACGGGCCAGAGGGCATTCCTCTCCGACCGGTCACGTAAACCCCCAGGGGAGGAATAATGCCGGTGTCACAGAATCTTTGTGGGCGTTCACTGAGAGGAGGATCCTGGAACCCTCAGCACAGGGCCTGGTGCGCAGTGCGCGCGATGGACCGTGGCTGCTCTGTTCACGGTCCAGAGCGCCCCTCACCCCCTACAGGGCCAGAGGCCAGGCTGGGGCTTGCCTGGACTGCGGGAGGGAGGGCGGGGATGGAAGGAATCCAGACGGCGCCCGGATGGGGGGGGAGGGGGCAGAATCACGTCGGTGTAGAGCAGGGTTGGGGTCCTTGGCCCAGCTCAGGACGCGGTCAGTGAGGCCCTAGGCAGCTCCCTGGCGCAAGGCGCTTTTCACAAGGGCGCTTTGTCCAGGCCTGGGGAAGGTTAGGAGGAGATGGGTCCCGAAAGCCGGGAGGAGGGGGCTGGGCTCAGAGCAGGTAGCGGGGACTGCGCCTTTCGGGGTGGCTGTTCCCGCGCCCTCCAGCCTCCCAGCGACTTGGTGGGCAATTCAGCCCAGGAAGGGGGTTCCCGGGTTCCTTGCAAGCTGGGGGGGCCGTCGGAAGCCAGGGT